TTCGTCGTTAAATCAAACCAATTCTATCTATTCTTCCGAATTGAATCTACTCTTCTGTTTTTCCTATTCTCACAATTTTCTGATCTCCCAATCTCCTAGTCTTCTAATCTTCTTATCGAATGGATTTCCTTCCAGCCAAACCACCTGTTTTTTGGTTGTTTTTACGCACCTAAATGCAGGATCTTTAGGAAAGTGTCAGTGGTACCACTGCCACCTCCAGTGTCGCTTCCTCCTGTGCAGATTGTTCGCAGCGCTATCGAAACCATCAAGCATGCCGAAAGGCCACTAGTCATTGTTGGGAAAGGTGAGCCATTTCTTATTATTTCTTATTTCGTCAGTCCGCTTGGAACGGAACCGTTGTTGCAATTCTAGAAAACATTTGGTATCGAAGTTCATTCGGAATACGCTACACATCTGACTTCCACCCAACCCCCCCCCCCTTCCAGCTAGTGAATGCGAACCCTAATGTGACAATGACATTCGTGGTCATTAACTTTGTTTATCAGTAGTAGTATCAATAGGCTTGGTATATATAATGCCTTCTACACAACTCCGAGAAAAATTAACGGATTAACGTAATATAATCCTTACCCGAACAGAATAGGAGTGCTATTCAGGACAAGATTCGATCCATGCTCTGGAAGAGACAACTGCAATCTCAGCCACTGCTTCATCTTGACCTGATGTGATGACTTGGCTATAAATCACTTTATCCAACTTGTCTGGGTATGTGAAGAACAACTGAGTGGCTTGCCCTTGTTTAAAGGCAAGCCTCAGGATACAATGGGTGTGGAAGAGCTTTCACTAACGAAGCTGGATGGGAAGTGGTCTGGAAAAAAGTGAGAGAAAACTCTGATTACACTCCGAATAAGGAACTCCTCTATTTCAGCCCTCGAGATAGAGAAGGGGCGTGTTGGACGTGTTTCACGAACCCAACTGCAGTTGCTCCGGTGCCAGTGACATTGAACCGCAGTGCAACCGCTGATGCAACTGCGTCCGCCCTTGGCCGATGTCAGACTTTGCGAATCAATCGATTCGCTACTAGCGATTGGCTAGCGTCCGCGGTCGCGTCGCGTACAGCAAATCGAGCTATTCGCTGTACGCGACGTTAGCGAACCGCTCGATTCGCAAAGTCTGACATCGGCCTTTTCTCGTAGCGTGGCGTGGCAGGCGACAGCGGAAGGCAGGGCTTGCGGGCGAAGGTGTGTACTGCGGATTGAGCGGAGCTTCCAGTGTATTTATTTATCTATTCATTTATTATACAATACATTAACTCGAATCCATTATTTATTTATTTATTTATTCGGTGCATGCTTAGGTGAAGTTAAAATTTAAAATACCAGATGTTCCTCTTCATTCTTCGGCACACCTTCATCTTTCGAAACCGTGAGATCCTCTCGAAAATCGTTATTGGTCACAGATCTGTTGTTAGAAAAGGCTAAGCAGGCATCATATCCGATCTCCTCGGTTTGGTATGTGAAATGTAGCATTCAGGAGCTGCGTGGTCGGAACGAGGTCCCAGCATGGTGCAACAGTTTTCGCTATCCCATAAATGCGCTCTTCCCGGCTTTGCCAACACCTGGTCAGGAAAGGCGTTTCACAGACATCGCCATCCGAGTTTGCCGTTTTCGTGGCCTGTCTTACCAATAATTATCCGGCTTTTAGTGGGACCTCTCTATTGTTTTGAGAAGTTAGGGCACCGGTGTGGTAGATGAGGAACATTTGTTTTTATCCTACAATTGTGGCTTTAGGCTGGTAGCACCAGCTCGCTCATTTGCCTTGCGTGAAGCCGATTGCATAGTTTTGATTGGAGCGAGGCTCAACTGGATACTGCACTTTGGACTCGCACCCAGATTCAATCCCAGTGTTAAAAGTCATATCATGTAGAAACGATTTGCTTGAAAGGCGGAAAGGAATTAAGCGAGAAAAGGCGCCCGCCGGGCGCCTACTTAATTGAATTTCTTAGTTGACATCCCAGAAGAGTTTCATCAGAACGTTCCGACTACAGTTCCTCTACTGGGCGACATCGGCGAGACACTTTCTTCGGTGAGTCCATTTTGGAGAGTCGGTAAACACCCTACTTACTATAAAGCGCTTCGTCTGTCTTTCGATCTTCGTTCTGATATCGCACAAAATTCCAGCTTCTTGGAGTCCACGGGGACTGGGGTCAAGTGTGGATAGGTGGGCAAGGTCTCGCGAAGTATAGAACACGATAAACTATGCGGGGCTTCGCCCACAGTGGGCGTGGCGTGCATCGAAATGAGCTGTGCTGAGGACCAAGAATTCAAATTCTCTTAAAAACGGCCTCGAAACTGGGCCAAAAAAGTGGGTAAAGGTGTGCATTGGTAAGCCACATCGAATTAGGGAGACCCACCCCCGGTGGGCGGGGCGTTCTCTAAAAAAGCAGTGCTTTATGAAAAATTTCATAACTCGGTTGGGAGAAAGCCTACAGAGCAGAAAACAATTGGTGTAGGGAGCAATGTCTAAGGTGTTTCCAGCATACATGACGTGGGGAGGCCCGCCCACAATGGGCGGAGCGCGCTCTGAAGTGTACAGCGTTTTCTACAAGCTTCATAATTCGGGCCGGAGAAGTCTAGTGAGCCAAAAAAGTGATAAGTGATGAAGGAGTGGAGCCCAAATTGGTGGGTGGGGCTTGTCCAAAGTGAGCGGATTCCTCCACTAAACCACGCAACTCGACTCCAAGTAGTCCTGGAGAACGGGAGAGAATTGGACGAAGGAAAGGAAGTGAATTCCAACGCTGTGCGGAGGATACCTAAAAAGCAGGTTTCGCCACCAAAAATATGAATCGGCTCAGAAACAGTTCACAAAAAGTGGGGAGAAGTTGGCAAGGAAGAAAAAGGTGGGTGGACATACAAAGAAATAGGCGGAGCTTGCGAAAAAATATTATAAATCGGTCCTGAGAAAGTCCGAGACCTGGAAACACGGACAATTGGCAGAGGAAGGCGGACAATTGGTGGACGAAGGAGGGAAGGTCAAAAAAGCCATCGGTGGATGAGGCATGGGACAATCGGATAGAATTCAGCCTGAAGTCAAATATTCGAAGTGTATTGGGCCAAATTCGAGAATTACGCCGCACCATCCCATATCGCCGCAGAACTGTGCTGTGCGCGCAACGCGTGCGGCGCCCACTGGTTATAGACATATTTCGCCGATGCAGGGTATGGGTGAAGAGGTTCTAAAACGAATGTGTAGTAGGTACAGGGTGATCCACCTCTTGACAGCTACAAAACTCTGGAAAACAACCCTTTTTCGCAGTCCTTATTCAGCATTGAACCAACCTCCTACAAAGGAACACTGAGCGCCAGGAAAACTAGCGTTGAGGATGCGAGAGTTAACAGAGACGAGCGAGACGCAGGCACAACCCACATCGTTCGGTTTCAAATCGAAGTAGCTAGTGACGGATGAAGTCTTTGGGTAGCCCAGCTCTCTAGTGCTTTTCCGTTGTACCTATGAGTCGCGAAAAAAGGACTACCTTCACTCATATTGGTCAGTCTTCCCGCTCGACAGGAGCCCGTCGCGCGGCGAGAAGGCAGAGGCGCAGAGGGGTTGGCGGAGCAGTCGCATTGCGCACTGTAGTGATTCTAGCGTTAAGTCAAACAGAATGTACAATGGTACATCTCACATTGCACAACACGCGCTCGCCGACTCATCTGCGTCTCTGCCTTCTTGCTACGCGACGGGCCTCTTGTCATGTATCCCACGAACAATACCAACAAACGACGGCAAGCTACAGCAATCGAAGGGATATCGAGAGCCTTAAGTTTCGGTGAGGTGGACAGTGCTGCGACAAAGAGACACTGACCAACGAGGAGTTGAGACGCAGGTACCATCGTACGTATGTAGAACACTGCGTTACGAATAGTAAATAGTTGCGACTTGCAAGCGGTTTCAGCGCTAGTGACAAACCCTTTTGTCGCTCACGTTCGAACCGCTTGAACAAATTATCTACCTTTGTCGTCGGCTCTGTCCTAACCACGAAGGATTTCTGTCATACAGTCCAATCGTGGAATGTGCTTTTAGTACATGACCGGCCAAGGTTGAATATACGGGGGGGGGGCAAAAAAGAGTCACTTTGCCCATGGCGCACATCATCAAATTTTTCTTCGCACAGGATGCCGTTGTTGATGAATGTTTTACGGCAGAATATTCCTTAGGTGTCCCCCCATAAGCAGAAGCAGGCCCTCCTTCACTGCCCTCACCGTCTTCAGAATATGACGTCATCTGCCGTCACCGTCGAGCTCAACGAGGCTTACCGTAATCGCTCCGGCCTGAAGCTGCTACATAATTTCTTCAAGATTAACTGGTGAATAGCTTCCCAGAGACACTAGCTGTGACTGTGCAAGACCGCTTTTGACCAGCGTTTCAGGGACGTCGTAATGGTCTATGGTACCTCGACGACCTCGTTGAGCTCGTACCGTAAATCTTCTGATGTCGTCGGTGTAGAAGGCTGTCATGTAGCTTTTGATAGATTAGAATGTGCTCTTCAATATTCAGTTGGGTCATTTGGTTTGGTTTCGCAACGCGTAAATTAATTCCGTTTTGAATGTGGAGGGAAGTGATCTTTTTTGTCCCCCCCCCCTGTACATGAAGACCTTCGCGATTCCTTGTTTTGATCGAGCAATATGGCTGTAATTGCTCAAATAAACTTGCTGGAAAAACGTTTCGAAATGAGTGATTGACAAATCCATTGGTTGCAGATGTTATCGGAATTGGAAGATTGGAGGTTTCCGGAGAAAAGCAAGTGGATGATTGATCTATTGGCAAACGCTCAGAAGAACAGGTCTGTTGTCAACCACCGGACTTTGCTTTGATTTAAAACGACTTTTCAGAGATATTGTGGAACGTATGGCCGCTGACCATTCGCCTCCTCTCAATTACTACGCTGCCTATACGCCAGTGAGCTTCTGCCCTTATTAAGGTCGAACACATCTGTCAATGTCATGCCGTTTTAGATCCGCAAATTCCTTGAAGAAAACGATGTTCTCGTTGTTAATGAGGGAGCGAACACCATGGACATTGGGCGGACGATGATGCCCTCTGTACTGCCACGTAGACGACTCGATGCTGGAACGTTCGGTAAGCACTGACTAGGAGGATCTTGAAGACTTGAAAGTCTCGAAAACGGGTTGAACAACACATCAAGGGAAGTTCGGTAAAACGACCTTACCTCGAGGTCTGATACATCCCCTCAGTTAGGTTCCACAACTCGTCTTATACTGTAATCAAAATAACAATAATAATCTAATTTTTCATGGAATTCCTAAAATTCTGTAGAATCTTGTTAAAAATTTCTCACAAAATCTGATGTACCTCAACTATCTTCAGGACTCCTGATGTTGCCTCTCAAAACTCCTGTTTTGTCAGCGGTTGCATTTTCCTTGTTGTTCATCGTGGCCTCCAGTTTGAGCCGGATCGAGAAAAATTTGATAGTGGCAGAATCCACTTCGGCTCCACCCCTCTACTTCCCCATCCTTAATCCACCTCCGATTCAAATTCGTTTCCATGTCCTACACATTCCCATCCTCTTTCATGCTATGCACCTGAAATCATACCTACCTTTCCAAAGAAAAGCTTAACCGAGAACGTGGGGATGGAGAGGCAGAGTGGTAGATTCGTATAAACAAGATTAGAACTAAAATCTAAAAAATGTTACAAATTTCACGAATTTTCGTTAGAGATTTGTCTGAAAAATCGCAAAATTGTTATACTACTATCAAAGTTTCTACACCTTACCAGTGTCATTCACCTTTATTGAAACACATGTTTGCGCGGCGAGCTGATGGGATGTCCGGCAGTGTCCCTTTTGCCTGACTGCGATTGTTTAGCCCGAAAAGTTCAAACCCTTATTCTGTGCAGTGCTGGAGCGCATTAAAACTGAAATTTGCCAACCATCAACACGTCTTTTGGTTGAGAGCTGAATTCAGCTCGCCGCTGGTTGCGTATTTTTTGATGGTCGGCCAACGGTGCTCGCAGCTAAGGCTTGGCTCTGTAAGGTGAGATGAAGGCGGATTTTCTGACCATTGAACATTTGACTCGAGCTCAACTCCGGACGCTTTTGATTTTAGGTACAATGGGAGTGGGCCATGGCTACTCCTTAGCTGCTGCCCTATATTGTCGTGATCACTCGCCAAACACCAAAGTTCTTGTGGTTCAGGGAGATAGTGCATTCGGATTCTCAGCAATGGAACTCGAGACGATTGCCAGGTAATTCAATAAATTTCTCAGTCTGCGTTCAGTGAGAAGTGAAGCATTCACGTGACAAACTGTTTCCATTCTGCGCCCATTACGCTCTCAGAGGTTCTTTTCTGACATCGCATGACAAGCAGTCGAGAATTATCGCTTTAGAAGTGGACGCGTTGTCCAGCAGATTTATATCTGGGCATTGACCGGGCACGCTCCACCTCAAAAACGGGAGCTGATTGGTTCAGCTTGGTCTGGTTTTAACTTAAACTAGAAATTTTCGTAGTATCTTTGGATTCAATCAGTGTGAGCACGAAGATAACATCATTTCTTTCGCAAACGCTGTCACAGTGCCGGGGCTGTCTACAGTAGCTTTTGGCGTCGGCGTGGAGCAGGCTACAAGCTCAATACGCAATTTCGCAAGGTTGATAGGCATAATTCACTGGCTTGAGGCTCATCATCCACGATAAGAATGAAAAGAACAGAATATTGCTTTCGTTTTGGTAAAAAATTCGAAAAATCGAAAGGGCTGCTACGCGTTCAAATTGCCCACGGACGTCTTTCACAAATGCTGGCGACGGGGATGCTCAAACTTGGTTCTTGGAGTGCATTCACTAGAAGCTCTTTCTGGCCTTCTGCTTCGTTGCATTCACATCTTACACTTCTACTCCATCCTATTCCATCGATCGATTTGTCTCCACTCTCCGAAATCGCGCGCTTTAACCCGATTCTCTCATTGCGTCGCCTGGTACGTAGCCGGCCAAACGCCGTCTTCTTTCCATGCCTCGCCTGGCTCCGCCCGAATTACCTTCGATTGTCCATAAGTGTAGTTTTTGTACGTTTGTTTCTCTTCGGAAACCGAATCTTCATGCGTGAACGTTACGTGTGTTGTTTCTGATGATCACAACTGACACATTCATGTTAAGAAGGAATGCGAGAAGTTCCTCGCGATTCAATTCCTTTAACTAATGTAATATTCATGTTCTATGGGTGGGACCACTCCTGGCAACAAGTTTCCGGCCGAGTTTTGTTGAGCGAAGTGTTTTCGCCGCTTTGGACACCGGCAAGGAGTTTTCGCGCTCAAAGAATGCGAGATTCGTGTTTTACGGGTTGGAGTACCCACAGAGATAACTTTCTAGCAAAATTCACAGTCATGAACAAATTTCGATAAAAATTCGGTTCGGTTTTTGAGGAGTAAGGACAGTAAAGCGCCAATATTGTGAGGTTCCAAAAATTATAGGTGGCGCTGAAACAAACGTTCTGCTGTGCGCTATGTTTTGAGACTGAGGTTTTTGGAAACATCAATGTCGATCCGTCTAAAATTATCAATTATTTCAGAACTAGTTATGGAAGAATATGTAGCTTTCTAGGTATAAGCTGCCAGTTGTGTGTCGTGCTGAACAACAGCGGCATTTATCGCGGTATGCTGCCCGAAGACATGAAATCAGTCGAAGGAGACCCGACACTGCAGTGAGTACTCGTAAAATCTTTTTGGACCTCTTCCTATGATGGCTGTGTGTATGGCTGGGGGAATTCAGGTGAGAGTGCGTGGATGTTTTTTACTTTATTCCAAATGGGCTGAATTCAGGACATCAAAACTGCGCAGCGTGACGAAGCGGTGTCACAAAACAGTAGTCAGCGTTTCGTGTGCAATTTGTCAGATTTGCTACTCCTTCTTGTAAAAGGTCCCTAAATCAATACCCCTCTCCTAGCTCGACTGCCGCTTCGCCGGCCTGTTTTGTATAGCACTTGATTCTGAGACCAGCCGACACACCCAACTCCACCACCTCTTCCCCCAATTTGCCGTTTACTGGGGGGAGGAGGGAAGTGGAAGGGAGACAAAATGTATAACTGAAGCGCGAATCCATTGAATTTTGTTCGTTCTTTACCCTACTTTAATCAAACTTCCCTATAGCGGCTGAAAAACCATCGACTCATGCTCCATCGACCTAATTTCTGCACTTCAATCTGAGTAGACGTGCCAATCGAAAATGTGACCCGCACCCCTTAACTCAAACACAGATGGCGGAGCCTCGGTTTGGACGATGCAGATGGACGGTTGACCCTGGTTACAAGTAGCGGCACGTAAGCGGGATGGGTTACTTTGCCGCGTGCACGGTGGAGCCCCGTTACCCACACCCTTATTGCCCGCCGTCTCCCCGGCCTGAGATATCATGAAATGCAAACTGTTAAAATGGCGAAATTGTATTGTGATCGTATGATTATTTTTGTGCTTTTCAGATATCCTGTGCTATCTCTGTCTGCTGAGTGCCGTTACGACGAACTTTGTAAAGCCCTAGGAGGAGACGGTTATTTTGTTCGCAGTGTTCCAGAAATTGAGCGAGCTCTTGCGCAGGTAAACTCTTCCAGGCCCTCTTGAGTCGGTTGAAGTCGAATCGAAATTTTCAGCGTTTCCAACCTCTACTGCACCTTTTCCTTTTCCAGGCAT